CACATGTTGAAAGTAAAGCTTGTTATGCTCATTTCTGACTTCTCTGCGAAGTTCACTTCACCGGCTGAAATCAGTTTGGTATTTGCATAATACATAACAATATAAACAAGATAATTCATCAGTAAAAACACCTTTTTGACTAATTTCCAAAATATATTTGTGTTTTCTTCTTTTTATGACAGATATTAAAATATATTAAGTCCTGTATGTGCACATAATGTACAGATGTTTACGATGAAGTACATTCACTCCAACCTAATGTCCATTATAACACTTTTAAATATTTGCATAATAGATATTGCTAAGCTCTTGGAAAGTTAAGTTTCTACTCTGCACAATGTTTTAATGACTTTGAGGATTAATATCATTGGAATTTCAAAGTGTTTGAAAAGGAAATTATGGAAATCCCCAATGAATTACTCCTCATGCTCCAATGGAACAACATTTTTCATATACACACAGAAACACACTGTGGTAAAAATTCTTAGAAATCTAATGTGAACTTTTAAAAATATACTATGCAAAACATGTAAATTTCATAATAAAATAACTTTTACACTTTGACTTGTACTGTTATACAATTCTTCACATAGAGGCTACAGTCCTGTCATGCATGTTCACCTAGCTGCTACATAATTAGTGCAGCTCAGCGAGAAATGAGCAACACGTTACTTTTCACAGTGGATTAGACACAGTCATGTCCAAACGTTGCTTTGCTCAGTAATCCTGATTAACTAACACAGCATGAACACCTCCAGCTGCTTTTGCTGGCAAATGGAGCCCGCAACTTTGACCATGTAACATACATAATGAGCTTAAAACCAAATGCGAGGAGTTTGCCAGGAAGTTTTCCAAGGCCTTGTTTACTGTCTCACCATTTGTGTGCAAGTGCATACCAATGGTGAGACGCATTACTGTTTCCTGTGTCTGCACTTTTAAATCTGTTAGCTGTAGAAGATAATGTCTAAAAGTATCCAAGAGCTTTTCAGATACATGCCACAATGGCACTCATTTCACTCTCCCCCTCCTAATTATGCGTGCTAATATTGAAGTTAGAAGAGCCAACATGTGCACCTGCACACAATATACATACACACACACAAAACTGCTACAAAATATGAGTCATTTTATGACCAGGGGACAGACTGCATCTGAATAACAAAATGTGAAAAACAGAAAAACTGTACTAAACGAAATTAATTATTGATTTCAACCCACAATAAATGTTTAACAATATTTTCAGCTGGCCATAGAAACAGGTTGTGAACGTAACATTGAGATGTCATCATACTTTCGGTTCACATGGCAAAGTTCTGCTTAAATTATTGCCTATCTACACATTCAGCAGTTATGATGTGAAATAAGCTCTCTTTTTTGGAGTCCCAGACTAATATTTTTAATATTTTGGTGTCCACCAAAACCCTGTGGGAAACACGTGACTCATGCTGCAAAGTGCATGTATAGATCTTTAAATATTAGGGTAGCTGCTCATATAGTCGATACTAATGTACAGCCTCATTAACACGCTGTCTCACTTTCGGGACCTAATATCCGTACACATATTCTTAATACTCAACAATATGTTTGTACACTACATTTGTTTAGCTTTATTATTATATAGTGGTGTTTTTAACTTCACACACTCAGCATATTTGATAAAGTCATTTCACTGATGTACTTACTTGAAAATAAAGCGTGTATACAACTCTGGACAATGATGTGTATACAGCAGAGTCAAGCTCCAGTGAGACTCCAGCTGGCGTGAAAAATCCCCTGATTGAATAAACCTGCTCTATTAACTTCTGCTTCATAAAAAGATAAGTGAAATTTAATTACAGTTTGGGTGGCAGATGGCAAGAGTGAGAATACATGGCACCAATACTATTCCCTGGCTCGGTGTTGGTGTTGGTTATAGGGTGTATCAGCGAAACGCTGGCATCGATGCAGAAATGGAGACAGAAGGAGCTGAATTTCAACTACTGGCACAACAATAAAACTGATAAATAAATATGAGGAAAATCACACAGTGGCAGCAGCGCTGAATAACTGTAGAGTGGATTCTATAAACTGGCATCCATACACAAATGCAAAGTTAATAGCGGGAGAGGAAGAGTTCACTGTAAAAGCTGGCAACTCCCTCGTGATCTAAACTAGAGCCCAACCAGTACTGGATATGTGCTTTCAGACACAGGGAACAAAAACAGATTTCCTATTAAGTTATGAGTCCTGAGTAAGATAATATGACAATGCAGCTTAAAAATACAATACATAAAATTAATCCTTATAATGTCCTCAGGATTCCCATACACCTGGGGTCATTTTTGACCCGAGGACAACACAAGGGTAAAAAGCAACAACAACTTGTTGTTGTGTCTGCAGCATTCAAAGAATGAAGCGTAATTTGCAGCATAAATTATCCGTCTCTTCTTTACTTTGTTCATTTTCATGTTCATTAGACATGCTGAAACCAATATATTGGCAAATAGCTAACATCAGCTGAGATCTAAACTGCTGACGGGGCTTCCTTTCTAATAGAAAGTATTTTACTTTAATTTATAATTATAAATTCATTCTGTATGGGAACTTATGACAGCAGAATTTATAAAAATGTAGAGAGGTAAAGTTTGTGTTACCAAAAGAGAATCAAAATCTTGAGAGAGAAGAGGCAAACCAACACACAATCCTGCCACCATAACAACTTTACATACTTGCTTGCTTCAAAATGAATATGAACAGGTAGAAAGCTACACAATGGAAAGTAAACAACAGAAGGAATAACTGTGAAGCCTCATAAACTATGTGTGTCACAGCCAATTGCCTCCCTCAGGAATCTGGATAACACACAAGAGAGTTGAGTACTTTATACAGTGGACTTATGGTACTCCCAGATGGTGTGTGTGTGTGGTTGTGTGTGCGCGTGTCTGAAAGAGCTGATTTTTTTGTGTATTTGTTTCACGCTGACATACATCAATGAACTCCAGTTAAAATCCCCTGTGTGTGTTCAGCATAAATGCTCACTCGCAGTGAGCTTGGGGACTCTCAAAAAGCTCTGAAGCTAATTTTTCCTGTTAACATCCCATAGGGACTGAATAAAGCCTCATGAAACCTACGGAGACACAAACAGAGGTACAATACCTTGCTCACCTTTACATCTGTCCCATCTGTTTGCTTGTATGTTCATGCACCACCAATTTGAATCACAGTATTTTCACAGTATCTTTCTGTTCTAAATGCCGTTAGATGAGTTGTAGTAAAGAAAGTCTAGTCTTTGAAATGTTTATGCAATATGAGTCTGAGTCAAAGTGAAATCCTTGGAAAGACCTTGGTGCATACACTTGAGAGCGGGAGCGCAGAAGTGACTGTTAAGTATGTGTTACCACTCCAGTGGTATCCTCTGCTCGAGACATCACTAACAGGGTAACGACAGAAGTATGCAAATTCTTGGCTTAGCATCTGTTAGAACAGGACTTTGTGTGTGTGTGTGTGTGTGTGTGTGTGACCTGGTTCTCTCATTCATCGTGCCCCCGAAGAAGGTTGCAGCTGTCCAGCCATGGGAGGCAACACAAGCTGGCACCGACAAAGATCACTACTCTACCCTTAATTTCACCTTCTTCCTCATCCTCCTTTCATGGCCCTACAAACAACTTTCCCCTCTTTACTTATACTCATGTCTTTCCTGCTTGTTTTCATATTCTTTCAACTTGCTTCCTCCTCTTCCTCTTTCCTCTAACAGCTTTTTCTTTTACCCCTACCCCAGTTCCTCACTCCTCACTTATCCTTCCACACTGTCTGCACTTCATCAGTCAGAGATCTATTAAATCTCAAGAGGGCAGAGATAGAGAGAAGGGGAATTAGCAGTTTGACATTTGCTGACAAACACACTAAATGTGCATGCTCAAGGAAGCACAGATGCACATAAAGTGACACGGGGAGATACTAAAACTACTAGCAGACAGCCAGCGAATCTGTTGCTTTGTAGGTTAACGGGATAAGGTCAGCGTCTTTGAATCTGTACCCTCATCTTTCAAAAACCCTTCAATGATTCCTGAACTTAGCTAAATATATTTCCTTTGATGTCTAACAAAATGAAAACAGCTTTTGTTCAGATTGATTCTAATGGCAAAAAAAAAAAATCGGCCCTGACTTTATATTCAGTTTCATAACGATGGTGAAAAAAATTATTTTAAATGTATCATTGCTTTGAAAGGGAAGTGAACCAAGAGGTCGACTGTATTCTTTCTGAACCTCAGACTCACTAAGGAAATTGGCACTCACAAAGAGATTTCCTAGAATACTTAAGGCAGGCTTTTACGTCATTGTTCACTCTGATACAAAATATCACTCACTTGCAAATACACTTGACTGTAGAAAATCTATTCTGCTGTGACTTTCAGGTAAACCCTTCATAATTACATTACTCAAATGTCCAGAGCTGCTGGGATATGTACACACACAAATGCACACATGCCCACACACTTCCTGCTTGCCTTGCTTTGTCTTTCATTTCCTCTTCTTCTTGATCTTGTCGCCTACCATACCTGCTTCTGTGTTCTACTAATTTATTCTTCTTCTAGGGAAACATCTACTCTGGTTACAATCAAAGCCCGAGCCAAACAAAGAAACAGAACTGAATCAACAAAGCCTCATTGGAAAAGCAAAGACTAGACTAGACTAGAGATGAACTGACCAGACGGTGCTCAACAGATAAACAGGAGCGCAATTAAAACACACTTATCATGAGTGAAGATCCATAGTTCAGCAAAGAAAACTGTGAGGGGGGCGGGGCACCACAAAAACTAGCAATAAATCACTTTCACCCAGCTGAACATAATCATTTCACAAAAGCTAGCGAAGGAAAAGTGGCTGTGGCTAAAGCTAAAGCAATCCACAAGCAGGCAGCCGTGGCAAGAGCCAGAGCACTGGAGCATACTGGAATAAAAAATAAAGGTAATGGGAATGAGTTTCACCTAATTTTGTTTGGTAAAGGAAACTATTTCAACTTACTGCAGTTTGGAGAAATTTTTAAAGATTAATCATTTATTTTATTATGAAAATAAACATTTTCACTGAATAAAACTTGATTTTTGTTTGTACGTGCTTAGAAAGAAAATCTGAATTTGTAAAAATCTGTATCTGCAGGTCACGCTTAAGGAAAAATCAGAATCGGACAAGAAAATTGCAATCAGTGCATCTCTAGATGGTATAATCAGGCACAGTCCTGCTAATGGGAACAGGGATCATGTCAAAGACAAATGTTAGTGCTTCTTTTTCAGGGTCAGAGTCATTTAAAATCAGGCAGTGATTCCCTCAATAGACTACTGAGTGACCTTAATTTGAAATTTCCATGGAAACCAATCTTGAGCGTTAACAGTGAAAAAAAAAAAGTGTACATCTCTGGTTAAGACTGAGCTTTAAATGCTAAATAAAATGTAAGAGATGCTGCATTTGGCATTTTGTTTTTTTGTCATGATATCCAATTAGTAGTCAAGCATAAACACAGACCCACACAGACTGACAGGGAATACACAGATGCACATGTTTGGTTTTTTTTAACTTCCGTTTCTAATTATTGTGATAAACAGCTTTAGACAGCCAAGGCTAACTCTTACAAACGCCAGGACATCTGCTGTCGAGATAGCAGTGGCAGCATTTTGTAAGGCATACACAGTTGAAGCAGCCACGAAGGCACGATAGAGGATAACAAATCCCCTCAGTGCAGAACAAGAAAGAAGAGCATCAATCACAGTGACGGAGGACTATTTCCACCCATGTTAACTTATTTTAGAGAGAGATGTGGGCAGAGAGAAATATTTTGGAAAGAGGACGCAGAATGCTTGCTCAGTCTGCCTTCTCACATTAATGCATTCATTCATCATTACTACCGTAAGTAAAAGAGTGTGAGTGTGCTCAGAGAAGGGAAAAATCAAGGGGAGTATAAACAACCAAAAATTGTGGTGTTAAGGGTAACAGGCACCAAAAAAAAATTAAGCTGCAAAAGTAAGCTTTTAGATTACACCTTCAGTTTAATGAAGTACCCTTAATCCACAAGCAGCGTAGTCTTCCAGGCCTAATGTCTCGCTCATCTCAGGCGTGTCTCACTACCTTCCCTATCTTTAACAGTCCTTTGCTAATCCATTCTCCCTCTCCTTCCCTTTCTTTCTCATCTTACTCTTTGTCCTCTAGCACTACTGCATACATATCACTATAATCCCAATCATTCATCATCATCATTTTATCACCTTACTCTCTTTGGCTTCTTCGCCCTCATTTATCGTATGCAAGGATAAATGGCTGCCTTTCACTCACACACAGCCTCTGTCATGAATGGTTACTGTACAGCTTCAAATGCAACCTAAATGATACTGCGGTTAGAAGAAAATGCTGTTATAATCAAAGCAAAAAGACTTACCTTCTTCTGGTCTCTCCACTGTTGCTCCAATTTGGCATCCAGACGATTGGCAGCTGTTGCCCACTGTTGTGCAAGTCGCCGGATTCGCCGCTTCATAAAGCTGAGGGACTCCTTACCTGTCCCAACCTGGTCCAGCAACACAGAGAGGTCTGTACGGAAGGCAGCCTGGGAATGTGAGAATATAAAAGGTAAGCTGGTAACAAAATCAGGTAAAGTGTAAGATTTGGGCAGCACAGGGCCCACATTTTGAGCTCTGTGGTGCCTGTTTTGTATTCTGCAGCAGCATGGGTGTTAAAAGCTTTGGTTATACTGCCAGTAAACACCATAGCTATGAAGGTATGTCACGGTAATTCAGCAATACCTGCAAATGCAGGCTGGTAGCCAAACAATAAATAATTTTGCGATGTTTTTCTCCCATCTGCAGCACAGAGGGACTAAAATTTAGTCAGCTTTAACACTCATAACGTACTATTACGTACCAGTACTACTGTTACTAGTACTAAGTACCACACGTAATATTAAAGTACTTCTGTCAATGAAATATACAAGGAGCAGCTATGAGCATATGCAGTCTTTCTAACTAATGCTTTGAGTTTTCTACTCTAAAAGCTTTGGTTCAGCAATGTTTTTATGAAACACAAAAATAGTTCAGTTATTTTTGTCAGGGAGTCGATTGGTCTTCATTCGTATTAGCATTCCGGTTAGTTTCTAAAGATCTCGCTCTTAAGACAGTTATTAAAAGAAAGGAAAAGTGAAACTGCAAACATTTTGCAGGCATCACATTTTTAACTATTTCAAAGACTCGTGATGCGGTCTGACTGGAAGAATGTGACTGAGAAAGGTGCCACTATATTCAGATTCAGTGCACAGTTCTGTCCTTGTTCCCTATTTTGAATTTCAAAATCCATAGTCCTGTATTACCACTGCGCAGATTTGCACCTGAGGGCACCGACAGGTTTGCTGTCAGAAAATGTATAAATTTTTTAACATTAAAAATCAATCAGTATTAGCAGCTGTGGATGAGGTCTGCTTTAAATAGGGCGTGAGCAGGGTCAGACACCTTACTCAACTGTAAGGTTTCTTCTCAAAAAAAGGACTGTTAAATTCTTTTGACTGCTACTCTGGACATTTATTAACAGCTCACCGACCTCAAGCTAGTTTTTTTACATTTCTGTTGTTATTAACGGCAGCATGAAAACATAATACAAAGGCTGCACTTTCAGACGAAATGGCAGAGAGAGAAAAACAATTTTTTGAAAACACTATAATTATAGTACAAACATGTCCAATTTGTCAGTTCCAGCAGTTAACTAACACAATATTGCTTGTCTAAAGCCATTTTCCCTCTGTGGCACTCTGTTTTCCACCATCTTGACTCAACTTTCTTTCCTCTACAAAACTTAAAATTAGATTTTTTAAAGTTTAAAAATAAAAAGGTCTTGAATCAAGGACACAAGAAAGGTGAATGAAAGCAGATATTTCCAACCCTTGAAGTAAAAACCTTAGCAAACAGAAATCTGGATTACAAGTCATTTGCTATCTTAGGCTTGCACTGAATCAAAAGCTACTTCTCCAAACACACTCCAAATCTTAATAAATAACTTACCAGCAACAACACCTCGCACTTTACACGCTTCCAGTACACAAGTAATCAGCAGAGCCTGCTGCTATCTTTGAGTCAGTGCTGCTCTGTCTGTCCTGCAGGAGATGCTTGTTATTAAGTCTAACTGACTGAGGGAGAAATTAAAGTTTCATCCAAGAACATTTTATACCGAGGCAAGTAATTAACATTTAAGTATTCCATCTGCTGACCAGATGTTTGTTTAGGTGCCAACAGCGTGGGAAAGTGTTACAATAAAAGCCTTACAAGAAGTAAGTATCTACATATTGGTAACATGTTTTATTCATGTCATGAGACAAAAAAAAAAAAAATCAGTTTCTTTGATGTTTCACTATAAATATTCTCAACCACTGAAGTACTGGAAAAAAAATACAGTCAATACAATATATATGAACAGAGTGGCAGTACAGGCAATTTCTAATTTTTACTTCTTTCTTCTGGATTTTTTGGCCCTTATTTCACATAATTTTACAAAATTACAAATTTTTAAGCACCTGTGGCACAGATTCCCTTTGTGATTTTTATTAACACATCATCTTCACATTGCTGAGGTGGCGAGCCAAGCATCATCACTTGTGGGTTTATTGTACATCCATCAGGTGTCTGTTGGCAGCCTGTGTTTCTAATAGCACTACTGCTCCCTTACTTGTCTCTTGGGGGACTTTGCTGGCTGTGTATGCTGGGTAGGGGGGCTGCTGTGGTTCCTCCAGGCCAGTGGGGGGCAGAACCACTCAACCTCACTCAGGTAGATGAGGAAAGAACAGTCTGAACCATCAACACCATAGAAGGCATAGCAAGGATCTGATGTCCACCGTGCACGCATCCACTGGAGGACACACAGGGAGAAATATGTATACACGCAAAAACAGAAAAAATTACTTACCAAAGATTTAATCATCTGACTCCAATATATCTATATCTATATCTATATATCTATATATCTATATATATATCAATATATAGATAGATATATAGATATAGATATTGATATATATGAAACAACAATTAACAACTCACAACTTTCTTTCTGCAACAGGACAAAATAATGGTAACAAAATGTTTTTAAATTATTTTCTATTAATAACTGCACATTTATAAAATTAGGAAGTTCCAGATTTAGGTGTGACCGGCAGAGGAGCTTGGTCTGCTGTGTGGAAGATCAGCTGATGGTAAAACTCCTAAAGGATGTGTTGGTAAAGCTGGTTTTAAGCAGGCTGTCCACAGGTGCAAGCTGCTTTGAAACCCATCATAACTCTTTATTTAGTGTCATATTTACTGACACTGACGCCTGTTATGTTCTGTGCTTCTTTCTTCTTCTGGCTTTTCATAAAGCCAGAAGAAGAAATGGAAATCTAACAGCTGGGAAGTGTGCTTCATGTATGCGTGAGGAAGGGTGGAGAGGTCACATTACAGAGCCATGCTGCCAAAACCAAATTAGTGTTGATAGAAATCGTGTTATTTTTTCTTTTAGATATAGTATCTTAAAGTTTATTATTTAATTGGGTAGTTATACCCTCATTAAGCCCAAATCAACT